CGAGCTCATGTGAACAGGCGTTCAAGAAGAGTGACTATATAGTACTTCAACGCTAGTCTTCGGTACTCGGAGGGCAGCTGTCTTAAATGTTTGAAAAAAAACTTTGGGTGGCGTTCATTTCTGGTGAAGAGTGCATGATGTGTGCTAATTCCGAACGGGTTGGACCGACAGAAGCGGTTTAAGAGAGTTGTGGGCTGAGAGGAATGGGGACCGCCAGTTCAGAAAACGAGCGCACATAAGACACTATCGTGTTCTGTTCGGGGGAAAACAACGCGCCAACTTGGAGTACATGCCATGGGCTCTCTTCACTGATCAGCTAGATTTTATTCGACCATAGAAGCCCTGTCACAAGACCAATTGAAGAGGCTTAACTGAAGTACCCGGCATGTTTTGCCAGCGGTTCGAACGTGATAGACGCTGTTTATATCCGCCCGCTTACGGGTTTGGTGCTCTGAGAGCAGGACTCGTCTTCACACCTCATTCTCACCGAAACGGGGGAGGAGGGGTCAGATCTTGGAAGACGCGGACCACAAGCTGCTGATATAGTCTCGACTCCCACTCCGATTTAAAGCAGGGCGCATCAAGGTGTCCAACCCCGTCTGTTACCCTATGCGCATTTAAGTAACGCGCGGGGGATACACCTAAGATGCGGAGGGAACGTTTAAAGGCCCGGTTATCGTTAAGGGTAGAAGGACCCTGTGCAAGAATATTCGTGAGAACAACACTAGCATAATGCAGTTAAGAATAAAATACATTCATAGACCCAATGAGAAAGCATTGCGACGAATGGCTAATCTTTCTTTGGTTATATCGCGCTGAGCAATCCAAATGGCTTGATGACAATATTGTGCTACGTTTTTCACGAAAAAGAAACCTTGCAATTCTGCCTTCTTGCAGTGCAAGCGAGTATATAGTGTAAGTTTTCAAAAGGCTCCAGACACTTAATGATTCTCACGAATAAACACATCATAACACATCTTTAGTTACGACATTACGGAATGCTTCGCGTTGTCGCAGTCGGGTTTCCTTAGCTCTGCCCCTACATGCGTTGTAAAGTCACATAAAAGTGCACAAATTAAAGCCTTAACTTCTTGTAGTAACTTCAAGTTGGAAAGATTAATCATGTGTGTCATTAGCATGGAAAAAGGTGTGTGCTATTAAACTTACAGTGAAACAGTTAAATGCCTTAACACCTGCAGTTAAAGTTAAGCTGGTTCAGTCCTATTTTAACGCGCGGGCAGGGTCTAATATGTAAATTAAATTATTTTATTACTGTGAGATAGTCTCTTGTAGGAGTTATGTGAGCATGTTGCGCCTAAGGTTCTCGGTTAGGATTGGGTTTTAGGGCTAATTAATGTATTAGGAATTAGTTTAGAGGTTAGGGCTAAGGGTTATGTCACAAGTTTAGGCTTATTACTTCGGGTAATGGAAGAAACTTTATGGTTAGGGTATGGTTAGGATTTGGGTTTACTTTTAGAACTTAGAGTTTTGGCAATTTTTGCCCATGCTCGGAAATCTATTGCCTACTAGGCTTTAGGATTACCCTCGGCTTCCGTGTCTTCAGGCAGCTTACGTACTCAAACACGAACTGTTTCCTTTGCGCATTGTTTTCATTAGGCCCCTTGGAGTATGCATACGTTATGTCCTACACCGCTGTTTTTAATCTTTCTTGCCCAGCTTCCTTAGCCTACAGCCGCCCTTTGTCTCCCGCATAAAGCCTTTCCTATCGTCGGCCTCGGGAACCAGGATTTATGTTTGCCCAATATTTTACCTTATAGCACAACAGCCAACTGGTCTAGAGTCGACTACTCAACGTGGATACGTGTACTTGGCCCAAACAAA